CTTAATTTACTGTTTTCTTGGATTGTTCTGCAGTGACGAAACTTGGTGAAGAATTTCAGTTTAACCCAAATAGAGAGATATGAGAAGACAATAATGGCAAGTGACGCCGCGGGAAGAAGTATTATGCAACCACGTATATAGGGCAAATATTGTTTGATATCGAAAATATGGGGAAAATGATGAATAAGAAATATAGGTATTACTTGAGTGACTGTAAAAAACCACACAACTGCTATGACAAGGAAGTAATGGGATGACTTAGCAATGCGATGTTGGAATGGCCAAAAAATGGCAACCACTCTTTCAAGAGATATAACAGTCAGAGAAAGAATTGATGCAAAAGAAAACAATGCAGTTACGTTGGCTAAAGCGAAGCTATTTGGTTGGGAAGAGGACACTATGTAAGCACCATGAACGATGCCAGATATTCCAACAAGTAAATCTGCGATGGTCAAGTTCACCAGAAGGTAACTAGACTTCTTGACAAGAAATGTCTTCTTTAGGAAAACTGCAAGTACAATGGAGTTTGCAACTGTAATAGCAAACGCTTGAGGAAAGCCTGTTCGTACCCACAAATAATTCCATTCGTCATATATTTCCAAGTCTTCACTGGTATTCTTCAGTACTCCACTGAAAGACATTTTGACCTCGAAGATACGTCGTCAATACGCTCCTGGCTCAGTAGAGAAAATGGTCCTTTAGAGCCGAACAACAGTGGTTTTCAATACATTTGAGAAAACATCTTTACCTCTTAAAGCGCTTCTCAATTACACGCGTGAAATCTTATTTTAGTCCGATGAAAATTTAATAAACATCTTATCAACATACTGTCTTATACTTTATGACATGCTTTACTGAACTTCGAACTGCCATCTCAATAAAGTTGAGATAATGGTGCTTAAAAAAAGACATAATCGTGCTGGTTGGTCGATGGCCTATGTCCCTGATAAAATTTCATTTTATGAGGGCTAACACTATGGTAGTCGTCATGACAGTTCATATACTGATTACCTAGCGGTTCTCAATGTTAAACTACAACCTTTTCAATATTAAACTACAGCTGTTTTTTTTTTTTTTTTTTTTTTTCAATTTAGATTTCAACTTGTCCTATTTTCGATTGAGTCGTATTCTTTTGATCTGTGAACATTAAATTATTTGTTAATATTTCTTGTTTYATTAAATACTGACATCAAGATGAARCTGGTCTTAAATGTACTTCATAATAACCAAGGCAAGAAAATCATCAAATCAATATAACGATCAGGCGGCGCCTACTTGACTCAAGAATCATCAACCAGATTAACTTATAGCGCTGTTCATTGATCAATCACCTAAGGGTGAAGTAAGATGATATAGACAAAGGGATGTGAAGGTTGTTGAAGAGAGGCTTCTGGACTTACTTATAGACGAACATGTCTCAAACTGTAAAGAGAACACACTGGGACCTTACTTTACAATTTCCATCAGATAAAAAGGAGAGAGCAATGAATAAAATGAAATTTAACACACCAAGCCAATAAGCCGTTTGGAGGTTGTTTGTGTAGGGGTAACACTGACTTTTCTCCGAATTTCCTGTAAGTAGATCGAGTGGTTTAGGATTGAGCCCTGGCTTGGAAGACTGACCAAGTTACTTTCTGCATATTGCATGATCGAAAAAAATTTTTTTATTTTACTTTACTCTTTTTTAARGACGTACGAGCTCAACCCCACCCGCCTAACGGTCGGTCCTAAACTTTTTCAGTACTGTGATTCATTCTGTGACTTATTCGCGCTCTGGTTAAAGAAACCTAGAGGATGTTTCAGGGTTCGATGTATTAATTAGATGCCTTAGATCAGCTCAAGTACAGTTGTTCAAGCGCTCGATCTGAGAGTTAGCCGTGCACTGTTTCAGGGTATCGACAACATTCGAAATTTTATTGTTTTATTTAGTCGACAAGCAATGGATGCAGCAAGATACAATCTGTACAAATTAATGCATCCATAAATCATCCATAATACTGTCGTACGAGGCAGGTATTGACATAACATATGGATTCAAAATGTACCAGCCAGTTCAACGAGTAGATGGTYAAGTTCACAAGAMGGTAGGTGGACTTYTTGACAAGGAAAGACTTCTTCAGGAAAACTGTAAACGCGATGGAGTTTGCTATTGTAATACTTTTTTTGAATAAAAAATGCTTTTTTCCCCGATTGTTCAAAGGTTCTTTTTTGGACTTGCTTTATTTCGGACATCTTTGTGAGCAGATTAATCTTGCATCGCATCGCGAATAGCGCGCCTAAAGCGAAAAGCCTGCTTATAGACAGAAAACGTTTAATTTACTTCATTAGGCTCCAGTCAATTGAAGTACTACAAGGTCATCGGTGCRAAATTTTATTAACTAGATGAAATTCGTTCATTTTCTGTGATGGATCTCTGCCATTTGATGACAGTTTTGATTAGAGTTTTGACAATCGCTTTATTTCAAGATAAATCAACACTTGATTATATTTTGCTCAGTATTGGTTTAATAATTCTAAATGATTAAACTTTGTCAATGGTCGTATCATTAAATTGTACTTATTATATAAATATCATATTACGAAAAAGAAAAAAAAGAAAAGAAAAGAAAAGAAAAAAGTAAAAGAAAAAAACAAAAACAAAAACAAAAACAAAAACAAAACAGTAACTAGGAGTAACACTAGTAAATAGAGAGACTATATTCACTAAGTTCATATTCCTCATTTCCTTCCTGGATTCGAGCTTCTAAATGAATACACTAAATAGGAAATTATGAAAGTAAAGCTATAAATCATATTCCAATGTCCTGACCAGCGTCGTTTTGTGTAAACAGAGTTTCGCATATACATTAAATATAAAAATCAACTTTAAATTCCACTTGGAATTCAGTGGATGA